CCTTAAATGTCACCGTGTTAGCCCATTTCTATATACTGTCCATACCATTACACACACACACACACACACACACACACACACACACACAGAGTCAAAACAAACACTCTAGAGTTCATGGGTCACCAGCTGATATAGCCTTCACCATAGAGCACTACTAAATTAATCTTTGCATTTAAGTTCATATAAAGAACAAAATTGTGATTTTTTTCAGTCATGTAATTTAGACTTCATAGTCCATATACCCAGTTTTGATACTGTTCCATTTCATGTTCTGTAATGATTCACACTTGTGGAGAGCAGAGCCCTAGAAACATTCTCTCTCTCTCTCTCTCTCTCTCTCTCTCTCTCTCTCACACACACACACACATCATAACTAACACAGTGACAACCAGGAATCTGAAATTGTGTAGGGTTTTTCTTGTTTGTTTGTTTATTCTTTGGCATGTGGGATCCTTTGGAGGATTCTGAGCAAAAGGTTAACTTCAGAAGAAAGTGTCTAGGAGCAATTTATGGGAAAAACTGGAGAGATGTGGCAGATAACACCAAAACTAAATTTTAAGATTTATAAGATTCGTAAGATTCCTCCTTGGTATCCACTTTAACAATTTCTCCCCCTTCCCCCAGTGTGGTCATAGAAGTGTTTCAAATGTGAAAATAGAAAGTAGACAAGAGTTTCTTTTTTTCCTTTTAAGAACCTATCCCTCCATAGAATGATCTCACTGTGTGGTCTGGAATGGAGAAACACAAGAAACTTAGCATCCAAATAGGGCCTACAGCAACTAAAAATTCCTCTGTATGGTGAAAATAAAAACAATACCGCCAATCTGGTGTCTAATACTTTTACTTCCCAGCAGCATAATACCACTTTGGTCAGATTGAACCACTGCACAATTTTGCAGCTCTTTCAGAAAAATAACGAAAACAACTTGAAAGACACGATGTACATGCAAAGATGAAACAATGGTACAACAAACTGCCCAGTCCTTCCCCTTAAATGTGAAACAGCCTTGTTTCGTCTTCACACTGTGTATTTATTATAAGCCCTTAGAGCAGGGATTTGTTCCTTTCAGTTTTTGTAGCACCAAATAGACACAGTGACTAACAATAAACATTCTGAAAATTCACTGAAATATTTACTACATGTCAAAAAATTTCTGGATCTTTCCTTTTTTCCATGTCCCTCACTTAAGTATTCTTCAGGAGAGTAAACTGTAAGATTGAATTCTAACTCTGTTTTTGTCACTGATGTGATATATGTAATAGTTTTCTAATATCTTTTGTATGCTACATTATCATTTCGAGGTATTTTTATGTACAATGACTCATTTATTTTAATGACTTACTCAATCTCATGGAGTGGTGCCCCCCAAAGAAACAGATAACAATTAGGCAAGTGAGCTTAAATGTCAGACTACATGGATTCAAATTGCATTTCCACCTGCTAGCTCTGTGACCTTGGACAAGTCACATAATATAGCTGAGCTTCAATTTTCTTGTGTATAAAATGGAACTTACTGTACAGGGTTTTAGAAGGCATTTAATGAGATTGTCCATGAAAACACTGAGCATAGGAGCTACTACATAATAAGAGCTAGGTATATGTCATGAACAAATTATTATATACCAACCTCATTGGATTGTAATTGTGATTTACGGATAATATAAACAGCAGTTCTGAGTGGTGTGTTTGGAAAAGTAAGGGAGTTTTTCATGATTTCCATGGGATGAAGATTTTTTTCCTTCTAGCAGGTGTGAATAGGTCTCAGTGGACAGTAAACTAGTATAGCTAGAGTTCAGAGTGGAGAAGACTCTTGAGATAAGCTCTACAATAATACTATATCATTCCATTCTTCTTTTTCACTGCATTTGCAGAACCTCACATGTACCAGGTACACAAGAAATATTTGTTAAATGGATAAATATGTGGATATTTTTAGCTCAAGAAAACTCTAAAAATCAAATATGAAAAGAGTAATCCTCCAAAGAAGAAAGTTTTAGGAATGGTGACTTCAATGACAGAATCTTTTAGAGAAATGTTGCTAATACATATTTAATGGGACATAAATCAATGCTGAATGATTGGACTCGTCTTTCTTTTTCAAATCTAAAGCATAATATTTTATAACATTTAGAAATGGAGTTTCATTTTTGGATAATCCTTGACAAATAAGTCAAAGTGCTTTCATAAAGAAATAGAAGGTTTGATTTTATTCACCATCAAAATCTGAATTCCTGAACTCTGTTACTGAAACATCCTTGAAGCCTTGAAGTCTTTGAAATAATTTGATTCCAAATTCACATATCTAAAAAAGTATGAAGAGTCAATCCTGATTCTAATGATGTTTAGAAAGTATAGTGCCAATTGATACAATAATAAGCAAATGAAATTATTGAAAGGCAAATGCATTATTTTTTTACCCACCTCTTTAATCAGTCATTCAACAAATATTCATTGAGTACCTATATTGTGCCAAGTAATCAACATGGTGGCCACAGCCTCTTTTGTCTCATAAAGCTTATGGCCTAGAGAAGGGCAAGAGCAGTAGGACCATCTCATGTTTTGGAATATCTTACTCTGTACTGTCCCCCTTGAATCTTCAGAATGTTGATCTCTACATTATAATGTTGTATAATTCTGGTCTTACTTAAAGGCTATGAATAAGGACAACTATCTAAAAGATGAGAAATTCAGTCATTATTCATACATCCACAAATATCTACAGATGTTTAAAGTAAGGTAGACAAAATATCCTATGTCTTGGAATCCTATATGTACAGCTGAATAAACTGATATGAGATTACTGTTGAAAACTGCATTTGTAAATTGGTATAATTTGTCTCTAGCAAAGTTCACAGACAGCTTCAAATCCTTAAAAGGACCCTGAATGTTAGATTTTACATTTACATTTTAGCATTGGCTTAAAAGATAGTGGTAGTTCCTATAACTAAGGAATTCCCTATTAATTACGTGGTTAAGGAAGCACAAAAGTCTGTTATTCTTTCCAAAATCAATTGCAATTTAAACTCATTATCTCCCAGTCGATGTTCTAGTCCATGTGGCAACAGAATCAAAATGTAAATGCAACCATGGAAAAGTTCAGAAATTCTTTTACTGAACTGTGCTTTGTGTATCTGCCTTTAAAATCATAGCAGAAAAGGGTTTGAAAAAATCTGTTCTACTGGCCACCAGCTTGATCAAGATAAAGAACTAAAATTCACCAGGATTCTTGATGAGGAGTCACAACAAATCTTCCCTCTAATTTTAATACCTAATTTGTTCATTATATTGAGAATTGAGCTTCAAAAAAGAGCAGTCCTTTGAAAAAAATAGGACAGGATACGTCAGTGGCTCTAATGTGGTCATTAGTAATAAAGAGCACAAATACAGATTATGATAATTTTTTCATTTCCCTTTGATTTCTGTGAAACATAAGAGAACCACGAATGGCCTTTGTAAGTCTAAGGATGGTTAGTTTTCCTTAAAAATTTAGGGGAAGCTTTACATTTTAACAAATTCAGTTTTAGTCATATGTTTCTAAGAGCACTGTGACATAAACTGTAATCTTAGATTCCGTAGATACGACGGATTATCCCTTCACTCTGACAAACAACCTGGCAGACATTTATCAGCACTGAACACTATGCAAAAAGAAGCATAGAAATACAAAACTTCTAGAAAACAGAAATTTAAGGGATCTGCCTATTTGATCGTTGCTTCTGTAATGCAATGATGAAGTTGATGTTGATGTGAAACCATAAAAGTTCATATTAATTGGACATTTAACGGCTAAACAATAACAGACTTACCTTAAGCTTCAAATTAATACAATATATTGAAATGTGTTGAGATAACCATTTTTTTACTACAAGGGTGCAATGATTTCCTTTTATGAGAATCTTGTGGTACTGCCTGAATACCTTTAATATTTCTTGGATAAATGATAACTAAAATATATGTTTTATTAAATTTTTCTTATAAAAATGAGAACTATCTTTCAAACTGCATAACACTCACATTGTCTCCATTTATGCCCTGTGTCATGCTTGTCTCTTTTGTAAACCTATTTTACATAATATTCAGTGTCCTCACTGCCCCACCCAATCCCCACTTCTCTCTAGTAAAATATTATTTTCTTGAGGGTGAGAATCTGTTATCACAGCACAACACTGTTGTACTTCCCAGTCTCCTTGCTGTTTGTTGCCTAGTAAGTGATGCACTATGAAGAGCGAAAACTTGGTATTGGGTTGGGGATTTAGCTCAGCAGAGCCGCCGCCTGCCCCGCAAGCTCAAGGTCTAAAGTTTGATCCCCTGGCACCCCCCCCAAAAAAGAAAGAAAACTTGGTATTGACAAGACCACCCCAACAGGGCAAAATAAAATGCGCTGAGTATTTCTGTTGGCTTTGTTATATTTTCAAAAAGATATTCTCTAAACTTTGTTTCATAAATTTCTATTTAGGGGGACACTGAAGTATCAAAATTATTGTACATTGGCAAATTAAAGTTTGCATCTGAGAAAAGGGAATATTGAAATATGTGCCTCTGTTGAATGATCTATCTGGAGAGTTTCAACTGGGCATTTATTCTTTTCTTAGGTACAGTTTTGTGCTTAAGGTGTTTAAGTGTCCACTTATTATTACTACCTATTAATTTCATAAATTAAAACCACATCAAGTGCTTAGATTTACTGTAAGTAAAAAATTATGATTTGTATACATGGCTCTAATATATCTTTCCAAAGATATTTCCTTCTCTCCTTACTTTCAGGGCTATGTGAAATGAAGTATCTTTTCCTTCTAGAGGAAAGCATTTGTCAGTCACAAAATTGATATCCCTGGCTTACAAATGCCTATTTTTGTAAAGCCCAAAGCTTTTAAATGTCAAATAGACATCTATGACAGCATACCAATATATACAGAAGGAGTTTAGATTTCTCCAGAGTGCATCAATCAAAAAATATAAAATTTAAGAAAAATCGAGAGTAGGGAGATATATACATACACATATACACACATATATATATATGTATGTATATACGATCAGTTCATGAAGATAGGTCCTTTGCTAGTGATCTCTCACCAGAGCCATAACTCTTGGTAAGGAAAGACTCTAAGTTATAACAAGTGTACTCTAATAATACATATTTTGTGGAATAAATATACATTATATTCTGTTAGGCTGTATAATAATAAATGCAAGCAATATTTAAATTTAAAAGTACAGTACCAGGTTCCTACTCTTGCTTCTAATAAACTGAAAGTTAAATTGAAAGTGACCCATTCAGCTAATGCATAAAAATTCATGAAAACAGAAAATAACAAGCCAATTATTCCTAGAGCCTAAAAAGAGTCTATAGTATTGTAACTTGCCATTTTCAAGAGGAGGTTAGATGTTGAATTTTCAATTATTTGTAGTTCCAATTCTGGTAACTCAGCAAAAGGGGTTGTGGATCAGGTAGGGAGAGGGTGAATGTGTAAGAACAGCAACCTTGAACTGATGCAGTTTGAACAACAGCCTATAGAGAGGTTTGTTTTTCTCTGGAAAAGCCACAGACCAAAGATTGACCTAATCCTGGCCCCGGAGATGTATTCGAAAGTCACAGACTGTTCCCCTTATCCTGTTTCAGGCTGTGGACTGGAAAGTCTGTCCCTCTCCACACTGGGAATTCCCACTGCAGTGGACAGAAGGTTGGTGTGTACAGAGCACGTGAGCAGGGGCTGAGGGCCTGGAGAAAGGAGGTGTCGAGTTGCCTTGGTAAAGAATTTGTACACATTGTGTTCACAGCTTCTTGACAGGTATAATTATTGGTATTGTCTTTTACTATGTGCTGGGATTCTGAAGCACGTTTTCAAATTTGTGACTATCAGATGTTTGATCAAGTCGTTTTCCCTCAAGGGCCTGAAAAGGGGAAGAACAGAGAAATCAGCAATTAGTATTCATTTATCAGTACAATATGCTAAAAATATCATGTGCTATGTGCGAACAGCAAGGATTATTTTGAGCACTATCATTCATGCATAATCTTTCACATATGAAAGAAAAATCATTTGATGTTTATAAAGGAAGTAATTATCAAACAAAGCTAGGAAAGCCACAGTTATTCCCAAAAATAAAAAAAAAAAAGACCCACCGGTTTGGAAACACTTCAAATACAGAACATTTCTCCTCACCATTTCCAGATGATTCTACTTCTCTTCATGAAGGCAAAACATAAATAACATTTATATTATAACTCTCAGGCACCTATTAATGCTTTATTTCAGTGAATGCCGAAAACCACATAAAAACCAGGTTTTAAGAAAAACTGTTCTGTCTGCACCAACACTCCAGCTGCCATATCGTCTAGAGATGGGCTAGAAACCCCACGAGATCTTACAGAAAAGAATGAAAACCATGAGTGGAGGTATCTGTGTGCTTCAGGAGTCATCTTCCGAAGATATTGCACAAAAGTGTGTGCGCCATTAACACTGTAACCACTACACTGCTACTACTGTTATTACTGCTATTACTAATGAAAGCTTTCTTCTCTTTTACAAAAGGGAAGGTGACCAAGAGATGGAGGGAGAAGAGAAGGAAGGGAAGAGGATGAAGGAAGAGAATTAAGATGTGTCAAACACATGTACCAATGCCTCACAATGGATGTAATCAATGTGTACTACAAGATATACTAAAAATTAAAATTAAAATTAAATAGCTAACCTTAGTGCCTAGTTTCTTAATTGCCACATATTTTGCCAAAAGTCTTATGTATTATTTTTTTCCTCATTAATATTCACAACAAACTATATTACTCAGTCTTAAGTGGAGTAACATCCTAAAAGTCACCAATAAGTGACAGACATCTAGATATTGACTTTTTAATTAATTAAAATTATTATCATGTAGTCACATTTCCCAAAAGAATGAGACTCAGAATTTTGGAGCTCTTTATCTGTCCTGAGTTGCAGTAAGCCTAAGAGATGCAGCAGCAGCTGGGAGAACTCTGAGCATCCGAAATATGGGCCGCTGAAATACCTTCTGGTTGGAACCATCTGTGTGCCAAGTGTGCTCCTGATTTCTCTCAATACTATGATTTATAATATAAGAGATTAACAATCCATTCTGTTAAACAAAAGCCTCTTTGCCATCCCTGTATGAGTTATTTGATTCAAACTACCCGGCCAACTCTTACAAAGGCCACTGTGGTAGGTAGCATAGTGCCCCCCATACCTTAAATGCATCCATGACCTAATATCCACAATTTGTGAATATGTTAGATTATGTGTCAAAGGAAAAGTAAGTTTGGACATGAAATTGTGGTTTCTAACTGGTTGAAGTTAAAATAGAAAGATTATTAGGAATGATCCAATTGGGTCTACTGTAATGAAAATAATGAGAATGGATCAAAGAGAATATCTGAAAACAAATTTAAAAATACTTTGAACTAAACAAAAAATATGTACAGCCCAGTAAAAATAGTGCTTAGAGGGAAATTTATATGCATATGTTGTAAAAGAAAGAAGATTGAAGATTAATAGCCTAAGTTTCTATTTCAGGAAACTACAAAAATTAAATACAAAGTAAGCAGAAGAAAAGAAATAATAGAAATTAGTGGAGCAGAAATGAATGAAATTTCAAGTAAGAAATTAATATAGAAAATCAATGAAACCAAAAGCTGGTTCTTTGGAAGGACCAATAAAATTAATAAGCCTCTAGCAAAGCTAACACACAAAAAGAAAAAGGATACAAATTATTAATATCAGAAATGAAAGAGGGGCTATCAGTCAACTCCATCAGACATTAAAAGGATAATAAAAGAATGTTAGGTACAACTCTATATTCAAAATTTTGATAAACTCGATGAAATGGACTAATTTCTTGAAAACAATCTGCCAAACTTCATATAATAAGAAATAGTCTCAATAGGTCTATTTTTATAAAATAAATTGAATAAAAATTAATAAACTTCCAAAACAGAAATTGCCAGCCTAGATACATTAATTGAGAAATTCTACCAAACACTTAAGAAAGTATAAAAATTCTCTACTGGGCTGGGAATTTAGCTCAGTGGCACTGCGCCTTTCTTGCAAGTAAGTGCAAGGTCCTGAGTTTAATCCCTGGTACCACACACATGCAAAAAAATTTCTACTATCTCTTTATGAAGGTAAAAGCAGAGAAAATATTTCCAAATTCATTCTATATGGATAGAGTTACCCTACTAACACAATGAGATAATACAAGAAAATAAATTCACAGACCCAGTATTTTCCGTGAACAAAGATAATAAGAATTCTCAACAAAATATTAACAATTAAATTCAATGAGATACAAGAAATTTAATGACTTTAATGCCCAACCTGAAGACTGATTAAACTATTGTATAACTGTATTAAGTTCTACTGTTACTTCAAATGTAGACCTACACTTACTAGTACAAGCCATATTGTTTATATGGCTTAATTTTAATAAGCAAGTTAATATTCAGTATATGGAGCATGAGCGTATGTAAGTTCTCTCTGTCTTTCCCTTGCTATCTCAATGTTACATTGCATTGATGGAAAGGACAATAAGGTAAAGAATTTGGTCAATCTTCAGATGTAGGAAAAGGCAAGGAAATGAATTTTCCCCTACAGTCTCTTCAACTCCAGTGAGATGATGTGGTATTTTGGTTATATAGAACTCCAAGATAATAATTGCTGAAATTTTTATTTTTAATTGACAATAATTACATGTATTTATGGGGCACAATGTGATGTTTATACTATGGGATGGTTAGATCAGACTTATTGACAAATCTATCACCTCACATACTTACTTACATTATTTTTGTGTGGTGAGAACATTGAAAATTTACTTTTTAGTAGTTTTGAAATATACAAAGCATAACCAGATACCATTCTGTACAGTAGATCACTAAAGCTGATTCCTCTTGCTTAAGTGAAATTATGTGCTTTGAGGAGTTTTATCATCCACTCCTTTTCCAGCCTCTGGTAATCACTATTCTACCCTCTGCCTCTTTGTTTAGTTTGGTTTTGTGAGACGAGGTCTCACGGTGTAGTTCAGGCTGACCTTGAGCTCACTACGTAGCCCAAGCTGGCCTTGAACTCATGATAATCCTCCTGCCTCTGCTTCCCAAGTTCTGGGATTACAGGTGCGCACCACCATTCCTGGCTCTACAGTCTACTTTTGAATTCAACTTGTTTAGATTCTTCATATAAATGAGATCAAGAGGCATATTTTTTTCTGTGCCTGCCTTATTTTACTTAGCATATAGTCTTCTGGGTTCATCCATTTTCTTGCAGACAGAAGACAAAAATTTCCCCTTTTAAAGCTAAACAATATTCTATTGAGTATAAATATTGCATGTTCTTTACTCATTATGATAGATGATGTGACTATTAATTGTGTCAGCTTTATTTGTTTTTCTCTCATTGAGTTTACTGGTACATTTCAGGTATACAGTACAGTTGCATTCATTATTGGGATCTTGTACCTTTACATGACAGGTGGTCTTGGTTCTCATTTTTTCCCCTTGTCCCTGCCCTCCCTTCACCCCCCTCCTCCCCTCCCCATTTACAAACACTTTATTTCCATTTTTTCATTTTCTCATATTTTTTCTTTTCCCTTATTACCTTTCCCTTACCCTTCCCACTTTCCCTACACCTTAGCTCTTTTCTTCCCATTTCACAATGTCAGTTATCTCATTGATTGTGTCACCTTTAGTAGGAGAAGCTCAACTCAATTGGCTCAGTGATTCCATGCCCTAGGGTGTGGAAGACCCACCCTAGGGTGGATTGTCACCGGGATGGTATAAAGGGGAAATGAAGAAGGATGATCTGCTTCTGTTTCTTTGGAGGAGCTCCAGTCATCACCTTCACTTTGGATGTCATCTCCTTTCTTCCATCTCCTGGCTCTTCAGCTTCTACTGCAGACTCTTCAGCCCTCCACCACAGACCTATTAGCCTCCTGATACAGACTCACATGGGACACCGAAGTAAGCTCCAGACCTTCGGCTGAATCCTTCGGTCTTCATGGACAGACAGACACCTTACAATTTCGCACATATGACTCTGTTGGTAGCCCCTATAAGCCAGTCTTCATATATATTTGTATATCTTTTGTTATATCTGCCTCTCTAGTTAACACTGACTGATACAGACACCTAGGCTGTGTCCATGTCTTAGCTATGTAAGGATGTATGTAAATAATGCTTCAGTGTTTATGGAAGTGCATGTATTTATCTGGAATATTGTTTTCAATACCTGGAAGTAGGGTTGACTTCAAAATTTTCTGAGGAAGCTCCATATTGTTTTCTATAATGGCTGTATTGTTAACATTTTCAACAGTACATAACTATTCTTTTTTACAATCTTTCCAACACTTGCTATCTTTTGTTTTTAACTCTACCAAGTGTGAATTGATAGACCTCAATGTAGTTTTAATTTTCATTTCCCCAATAATTAGTGATGATGAGAATTTTCTCTTTCATCTGTTGGATAATTGTCTTGTGGAAAAATGTCTGTTTAGGTCTTTGGCCATTTTTTCAGTGGGTTAGTTGTTTTGTACTATTGAGTTGTTTGAGTTCCTTACATGTTTTGGACATTAGCTCCCATCAGATGTATAACTTGAAAATATTTTCTCTGAATCCATGTCCCTCATTCCTTATTTTCTTTGCCATGTAGATACTTTTTGGTTGGATAGTAGTCCATTTGTTCATTTTTACATGCTTTTGAGGGTTTATCTAACTCTCTGCCTAGACCTATGTCAAGGAGTATCTGATTTATGTTTTCTTCTAGTAGTTTTATGGTTTTGGTTCTTAATGTTTAAGTTCTAAACCCATTTTGAATTGATTTTTGTATATAGTGAGGGATAGGCTCCAATTTCTTTCCTCATCTTGTGACTACCCCATTTTCTCTCATTTCACTGACTGAAGATACTCACCTTTCTTGATTGTGTATTTTTTGCACTTTTGTTGAAAATTAATTGACCCAAGATGAGTGTTAATTTCTGAGTTTTCTATCTGATGCCATAGGTTGATGTGTCTTTTTTATACTTGTACCATGGTTTTTGATTATTGTAGCAATATTTTCAGGTCAAGTAGTATGATATTTCCAGCTTTGTTATTCTGCTCAAGATTCTCTTAAGTAATCAAGGTTATGTGTGATTCCACATAAATTTTAGCATTTTTTTCTATTTCCATAAAAGATGACATTGGAATTAAGAATTGTATTGAATCTTATAGAATTACAAGAGAATACATTATGTCATTTGCAGCCACTGAATTTAGGGTAATTTTCTATGACACCAATTGAAAATGCATACAACTATGATGACGAAGACATTTTAAGTATGAGGGGTTGTTTTGTAAGTTATCGGTGAGGGCGACTTGGATACATTAAATAGCATGAGATTGAAGCCCCATAATATGTCTGTCAGATGAAATTATGAATGAAAAGGCATGTTCCTTTGAAAACAGAGGCAGTGTGTCAGAGTAGTGAAGGGCAAGAGGCTGTGCTGCTCATGTTTCTGGGTTTGAATCCTGGACCGATTATTTGCTAACTGTGAAATGCTGTGAATGATATTTGCTAACCGTAAAATAATATGTTTGGAACTATATGCCTCAATTTCCTAGTTTAAAAGAGGCTAAAAATAGTACCTAATCTTCAGAGGATTATTGTGAAGATTAAGTACTTAGAAGAGTTCCTGGCATGCATTAATTATGTAATAAACATTAGTTAGCATTAAGATTATTTTGGGTCCAGCTTTCTGCCTGGCAATTCTGGGTTTATTAGATTTCGTTTTGTCAGTGCCTATTCTCCGAGACCTGGTTCTTCTAGTGAGTGGGCCAGTGGTTTCAGTAGTGATTCCCTGGATTAGATCATCAGAATTCCATCTGTGCTACAGGTAATAGAAAACAGAAAAATTTCACAATGGACAAAATAAAGGAAATAGGGTTCTGAAGAGCAGGAGGAATCAGTGAAACCACTGTCAAATGCCAGTTATTTTGTATATCCCTATTTAGCCTGAATTTGAATCCTTAACTATTTAGCCTGATTTTGAATGTAATAAATTTTCCACCCTACTTGAAGCAGAAGATCAGTACATTTTTGTCTTGATTTTCTTGAAATATTAATATTCAATTTATCTTTTATACATTGGGGATCAGAGTGACATATATATATATATATGAGAGCACATTTTAAGGCTGAGAAGCTTATACATGTAATACTCTTTCTCAAAATAAGTGGGATAGCATGAAAAAACCCCATATTTATATTCTCTGTTTTTATTTCTTCCATGTAATTGTACAGTAGTCATGTTTTTTTACATTCTGAAAAATATAGCATTTTTCTGATTTTCAAACATAGAATTCAGTGGAAAAGAGTTGATTTTTACTTGAAGAAATTTAAAAATAGGCATAAAAGACAAATTCTCCACATATGACTTGAATTTAACCTATTTTTCATTTTTGTTTTTGGTACCAGAGATGAAACTCATGTCCTTGCACTTCTATTTTCCATTTTATACCCCAACTTATCATTGGTTGTTACTTCACAATTTATGTTATTTCTGATAAATTATATTATTTCTGATTTTGATTACTCAAAGTATATTTTTCACCTGATTGAAAATAAGACAGTTTCTGGCAAGTATTTTGCTTTAAAAGTTCCTTGCTTGACAGTCAAACTTAAAAATAGAATTTGAGACCTGTTCTGATTTAAGCACATCTAATAAACTTTAAATTTCTTCTTAAAAACAACTGTAATATGAGTTAGCAAGTGTAACAAACCCTATATGATCCTTAAAAATTCAATTAGATAAAAATTAAGTAAGAGCTAACACAGGTGCCTTTGACTGAATTCAGCATAAAATCCACAGATTCCATGAGTTGGGTGTATTTTACTTGTAATTGAAATGGTCACTATACTTGCATCTCAAAGGTCTATGATCATGTGTATTGCAAATACTGTCCTGGCAGGCATAGATATAAATTTCATGTTAACATGAGTAGAATTCTATCATGTTCTCCCAGACTAAAGTGCCTGGCTCATAACAGTGTAAACTAAATGTTTGCTGCTCAATAAATATATTTTTAAAATGAAATATAATTTCAGGTAAAAATAAAAATATAGTACAAAGAATAAAACAAACAGGCTATGAAAGGTAGAATGTTAATTTCCAGGAGTATCAGAGGACAAATCTCATACTGTTTGTTTGTTGTTTTAACTCCCTTATGTGGCCTCTTTTTTCACCAGTGTCACAAAAATTTGAAAGCTTCGTGTTATATCCAATGCTTCTGGTTGAGACTATAGCAATCTGATAAGAATGACTTAAAACCACCATCATGCATTATTAACATTTTATCAAAAAATAATAAAACTGAGCCTCAACTTAAATACACATTTGCAGACATCATAGTATAAAAGTATCTAATGATATGAACTGTCTTTTCCACAGAACAGCAAGTGTATATAACTTTATAACATATGATTTTGGCAGAGTATACCTGGTAGAGAAAAAAAAGACTTCTGTGCTACTCTAAAGTGTGGTTCTGGAGAATCCTACTGACACTACTGTAGCTTCAGATTGTTTCTCCAGACACATGGGGTTTTACGCATCCTTGCCTCAAATGTTTATTCAGAGGATTTGGAAGAATGTGTGGTAAGAGCCTAGCACACTGTACAGGCACTTCACATATGGGTCACTATTAACACTTTTTCTTCAATCTTCTTGAAAATACAAAGCAAATCTTGATTTAGCATTCTGTGTCACACAGTGGAATTTGGAAGAAAGCCAGGGAAACTTAGACATATTGTAAATGAGTAGTTAAAAGAACCTCAAAGACTCTTGGACTATAGGCATTGGCAGGTGTCTGTCTACTTTCAGGTGGAGCAGTTTTTTAATAAATTGTATCTTAGAATTCAGAGTACGATCTTTGCAAGTTCAGTACTATAAGGTTGGGCAGTGTGTGCATCATGAAAAGGACACTGGCCAAGCCACGAGTGGTGACAAGAACCCAGTTTACACTCTTCTCACGTAGATCTGTGTGAGCATAGAAGGTGTACTTTCCCAATTTGTATAAGGGCATCATAGACTCTATTTGTTCCTTCCAAAGTGTATTATTTTCCAAAATATTTTACATTTGTGGATAAGATAGCCACATGAAATATAAAGATGATATCCCAGAGTGGTGGTGCACACCTGTAATTCCAGTGCTCCAGAGGGAGGCTGACACAGGAGGACTATCATGAATGAGTTTAAGGCCAGCCCGAACTACACACGAAGACCCCCCACAATGCCAAAAGAAGATATTATCCTGTTGACAACTTTTAGGTCATTGTCCTTTGTCGACTGATTTCACTTGTGCATTAAATACAATTAAATAGAGTGATTTTGTTTCAGGTAAGAAACCATATTTTAAAAAACAGCACACTTGTACTTATACAAAAGACCTTCCTTAGGCAGAACAAGGCTCTTCTCACCTATGACATGTGGTTCTGTTGTGTCTGTTGCTGTTGTTGCTGTTGCTGCTGCTGAATGAGCAATTGCTGCTGCTGTCTACGTCGGGCTGTCCGTAGCTTTTCAAAGCGAGCCTCCATCTCTTCCAGGACTTTCGGGGTGTATCTGACCACCAGCTTAACGCTGTCCTTAGCAGCCTTTAGTAGTTCCACAGCTTTCTCATGGTGCTCTCCTTCCACGCTCTGAAAAGACAAGGGCAACTCTTGAACCAGAGACTTTCCATGTTCTATTCTCCAAGAAACAAAACTGAAATCTAGAATCCCACCATTATTTATTGTTCACTATATTTTAGATGAACTATGCACTGGTTAGGCTGCGCAGAATGGATTAGATGGGGGTTCAAGTTAAGAGGATAAAAGCAGCGATAGGGCTAACATTGGAATTTTAAATTTTATCTGGATGAGTACATGTGCTAGTCAAGAAAATTTTGAAATAAAACCCCCCAAAAGATGGAATTTTCCCATCATATATTAAAATTTATCTAGAATCTACAATTATTAAAATAGTTCTTACTGGTAATGAGATAGTAGAGCATAGCACAGTCCAGAAAGAGATCTATCATATAGATAATATAACCTTAATGTATGACAAATGTAGAATTTAGACAAAAAAAAGGAAGATTGCTAGCACATGATGCTGGAACAAATAATAATTAAATGACACAAAATAATGAAGACTTCAGCCTCATACTGTAATCTAAATATAATGTATTGATGGAAGATTTTAATGTAAAATGAAAGCATAAAGTAAAACAAAACTGAATGTTTATCAGCTTGCAATGGAAAAGAAATTCTTAAAAATTCTGAGGGTGGAGAAATTACAAAAATCAGATTTCCTAATTTTAAGCTTCCATATCATAAATATTTTAAAAGAGCAAATAATGTCAGCAAAATACTTGAAATTTATAAGTCAACTTATTAATAATTTTATACAGAGCTCTTATAAGTCAATAAAGATTTAATCAAAATGAACAAATGAATAATTCAAATAATGGATAAATAATAATGAAATCACAAATGGTCCATACACTAGTAAGATGTTTAATAATCAAAGAAATATAGATCAATACAAATACTCAATTTTTAACTTAAATGCTAAATATATATATGGTGGTGTAGGGGATTAGATCTCTGAAAGATTGCTAGTGAAGTGGCAGTTTTGTTGTTTATTGATTAAACCATTTATAATGAATCATTTTATTTTCATAGATAACATCAAATGGAGGATAACATTAAATATGTATACATGCCTACAAGTATTATATAACAGAAAGCAAAAAATGGATCAGTTCTTGGGTTTTTGAGTTTCAAAATAGTGTTTTGAATGTCAGAGCATGTAATGGTTGGGAAAGCTATCTTTACTCCAACTAAACTAAAAACTGCTTCTTACACAACCCTCTAAAGATCTTTTTGGTAGGGATGAGTGAGAAAGCAAAAGAGAAGGAAGCTGTAATTAGACTTTGCAAGACTCTAAAACATGAAGACTCTGCCTCCTTCCCTCTCAGCTGATTTCTAGGGTAGATCATGACACACCAAGTAAGGCCCTTTTTTTTTTTTTTTTTTTGCTGTACTGAGGATTGAACCCAGGGCCTTTGTACTGGGCTACATCCCCAGCCCTTTTATTATTTATTTTGAAGCAGGGTTTTGCTAAATTGCTAAATTGCTCAGGCTTTAATTTAGCAAATCACAATGGTCAGTATCTCACCTAGGTAATTTCTTAAATCAGTGTGGGTAAACTGATTTTTAGATAGAAGGTGCCAAGGGGCTGGGCCAGTTGTAGTTGAGCAACTTTTAATCCAAAAGATAACATTCCAAACAAATTAAACATTTTATGCTAATTCTATCATACTTATATATTTTAGTTAGTCTGTCTCATTGGACGAGGGGACTTCTTAAGAACAAGGACTTTGCTTTGGTAAGCACACAGACACCAGTTTACTTGCTCAGTGAGTAGAAATGAACACAGTTTCCAGTGAAATGGTGTATATTTTTGAATATTAATCCAAGTAATAACCTGTAGTCTGATTTCAAACACTCAAACAAGAAAATTGAACCAAGGCTTTGACTGAGCTGTGCTAAATCATTTTAAGAAAATTGTAGCTCAGAGGTGTTTTATAAGAAGTTAGTACTCATATACATAAGCTAGGATGAACTTAAAATTCATACATTTGCTTCATTCACTACATTGACCTTCTAGTAAATCTTTAGCTTCATTGATTTTGGCTGCTATATAAGGAAATTCTCCTTGTCTGGATGATTTAAGAGCATAATTCGTTTATGAGCGTCTCTTATTTTTCCTTTATTGGCAGTAGGGCTTACCCCTAGTATTAATGCTATTTCCTGTTTTGTCATTTTGGATTCAAACCCAACTTTATAATAGCCAGCACTAAAGGCAGACTTTGGTAGGTTCTGAAAAGCTTGTTTTACTTGTGGCCCCATATGCTTCATGGCTTGTAAAATATAATGCCTGGAAATCTTGCAGCATAATGGTAGCTACCACTGTACTGACCATGCACCTTCACTGGGAGCATGGTTCATCCCAGCCCAAGGCATGGCCACCAACTACCTACCTTTACCAGAAAGAGACACACAGCCACTGCCACTAGGCACAAACCTCCCAAGTACAGAAACCCTACAAATTACCCTGTCCTTCAACTTTCAATCCTACTTCAATCCTTCCAGAGTGCTGTGATCAATGGTGGGCATCAGCATGCTGGGATACTTATAAAGCCTTTTTTGCTTAACGCCCGGGTAAAGTCAGAGAGGAAATGATTGTATCATGTGATTGATAGGAACTGAGATAGGCTTAAAGATTATCAGAACAGCAGAAGTCTCAGTTCACCCCATTCAGAAAGGAGTCTCAAAATGAATATTAAATTGAGCTACAGAAAAATTAAATAGGCTATATACCAAGAATACTTCAGTTACTGCAAGCTTTATAATTAATGCTATTATACAGATTTGAAAATTTAAGGAAACATTTCCAATTCTACTATTTGCTTCAGAAAGATGGGTATGGACTGAAGGAAAAGAAAGGTTTGATATTAGCAAAGAAGTTGTCTTTGGTACTGCTAAGAGCAGAATTTGCCATTTGTTTGAATACTCAGCTGATAATAAGGGCTTAATAGCCACAGTGAGCTCTGAAGACCATTTATATAACCAATCCAATAAATCTGGATTTAATACAAAGAAAGGAGTTATAAATAGCTTTAGGTAGAGTTAATTTTGCCTGTGGTTGAAGCCTTGGAAAATGGGCTGGTTCATTGATTAATCCATTCTTTTAATTATTCATTCAACCACTGACATAGTCACTATTTACTAGTTGTTTTCTACTAAATCCTTGGAAGAACATGAAAAGACAGGAAAACTTTGACAGTAGTATGCACTATAATTCCTGTTTTTATTATGCATGTAAATTGTGTCCCAAGATGATTTGTTACTGAATGGAGTTTTCCTTTTAAGGAAGAATTTGGAGATTCAACTGTCCATGGTCTTCTTTTAATATTAAAACTTATGTGTTTCAATAACAATGACTCACCTGTTTTCCAGGCCGAGCTGATTAGTCACCAGACTTTTTTATGGCTTTTGTTCTGTTTGTTTTCATTTAATAATGTTGGAGATTCTAGGCCAGACCTTAAGAGGCCCTTTACCCAGGTTAAGACACTGTCCCTGCAGTTCAGAGCCGCCAAGGGAGGGCTGTGGCACCGAGGCGGGGCCACCCAGCTCTGGAGGAGGGGATGAAGAGCAGCAAGAAATACAGCTGTGGGGCCCACAGTCGGCTCTGTGGAACTATTAAGGCTACCCTCTCCCTCCCCAGCTCTGCTTTTCCACACAGTTGGCAATTATAAAACAAAGCAAAACAAACAAAAACAGACTAAGTGATCTTTGAACCCAGAATTTTAGCCTTGATGTTTTGTCTCTGGCTGAGACGGTGATTCTCTTTCTTCAGGCTCACTATAAACAACAGCTCTCTTGGTTTGAAACCACCTCCCTGTCTTCCCCATCTCGGTACAGAACCATTCATTATCAGAGCTCTGGGTAGCACCCTACATTTTCATTTCTATTACTGGAAATACTTTATTAGTAACAGAAATTACATAATTAGGCAATGTAATGAAAACAAAGCCTTGCGTTTAGAATGAGATTTGAAGTAATAAAAGCATATTTTTAGAATTTACTACTTCAGATAGTCCTTAACTTTGTTTCTAATTGTATTCAGAAAAATGTCTGAAATCTTGCTCCAAGGATTGCCCTGGATGGCTTTCTTTTTCACTGGCTTTGCCTAATTTTGAGGACATATTCTTTTCTCTTTGTTTTTTATTACTTTAGTCCAATAATATAGCCTTTTAATAAGAATGAAGTAGTTTGTTTTCACCTTCTTTTTTTTTCTTCTTCTTCTTAGCATAAGAATGAAAAGCAGGATACAAAAGGACAACAGACCTGCTCATTGTGTGCATGTCCTCTGCCACCATTTCTTACTGGGCAGTTCTTGAGTCCTGAAAGTTAGCACTTATTCTTGAATTTTACTTAGTCTCTTTCTTATTCTTATTTAAAGCTTATCTTATTTCTTGCTAAATACTTAAAATGTTTTAAAATGCATTAAATTATTTATAAATACTTAGCTGTTTTTATCAAAGCTGTATAGATAAGCTTTCCTGCATTAAGAATTGTCCCTTATAGCAATCAGTTCAAATTTAGCTAATCTCTGAAAACTTGCAGCAACAGCTTCATTGCTAGTGGGTGGTGGCTGTCAGCTTTGAAAAGGACCAATATAGCCAATAGCAAACTGCTCTTTTCCCACAAAGTAATGGTGATTGATTATTTTAGGTTTTTTTTCCTTTCTTCGCAGAAATTTATTGAAATTGCTAAAGTGTTTAATCTTCTATGCCATACTCATTCATCCAGTTGCTTTCGAGGGTAAGCCCAGGCTAGCTGCTGTTGTGAAAGCCCTGGAAATTTTTAAGGTAACAAGAAGTTTCCTTTTATTTATGAAAATATGAATTCTTAATCTTGAAATTAAGGGAGAGGACAGAATAAGACATGTGCAGAAAAATCATTACCATAACCCAAACCCCTAAACATTTTCTGTGGAACAATAAAAGGCTAAATTCTTTTTGAGGGCATGAAATTGGTTTGTTGCAACCAGATGGATCAAGTTGTTGTTATTACTATAGTTCCACTTT